TCTCAGATTACTGAGTTAGCAACTTATCCGAAAAAAATTTTCACGGGCCTGTACGTGGGGACCAGGCAAAATCGGGGGCTGGGTTTGAGCTCATTAACACCTACGTAGAAGGAAAACATCCTCTTAAAAACTCCAATCCTCTAGCTTCTCAAGTTCCCGAGTTAGTGACTTAAAGAATTTTCACGGGCTCGTGCGTGGGAATCACGCATACCCGGGGCTAGTTTTGAGCTCATTAATACCTACATGAATGGCGAACATCTGGTTAAAAATTCAGCTTTCTAGCTTTTCGGGTCCCCGAGTTAGCAGCTTCCCACCAAAGACTTTGTCGGGCCCGTACATGGGTACCACGTGGGTAGGAGCGCCTATTTTGGGGATTGGGGCCCATACGTGCATGTAGATAAAGTTCCGAACGTTTCAGCCCTGTAGCTTTTATAGGTTTTGAAATGAAAAATCGGTATAGACGTACACAAAGGCACAAACGCACAAACAACCCTTCGTCAGTATGCGTTTCCTGCATTGCATAGATACAAAATACGGTCAATTCGAAAACAAACGAAGGGGATGGACTGCTTGATGTGAGTCACCTGTTCGAGGGTCACCAGAATGATTGTTTACTTTTTCGCAAGTACCACTCGGTGATATGCTACATCTACTAGTTGACTTAAAAGTATAGTGAAAATAAGCGGATATAACAAGTTTACATTGATTTAAGGATACACTTATATTTGAGCGAATCGCTTAGAATTTTGCTGTGAACGATTACATTGAAATAGAAGAATTGAAGGATTTCACTTGAATGTCATGTGTGTGAAGACATTTTATGACGCAGTCTCGGTGTTTCATCCCTTAGCTGTAAACATAGACTGGACTATGCATGCGAGTAGGAGTGGGAATCATCAGTACAGTAGTCTCAAAGTTCTCTGGGGCATCTGTTGGAGAGTCCATGTTCGTGCTGAAATTTCTGTGAACTGGGCCTTTTTTATCACTGTAAATTTTGATCATTTCAGATAGTTGCTGATAATGCGATCATTGTCTGAATCGATCGGCAAGCCACCAATTATCGTTGCAAAGTTGGTCTCCAAATGGCGTCTGGTGTGCCTGCTCAGTGAAATCCTGGCATTGGCCTATATGGGCATTATCATTCAGCCGGGCTACAACGAGAGTACGCGTATCTCCGAGAACGCATTGCTTCCGGCACTGGTCACCGAGCGATTCACTTCTCATCAACGCATTTCTGCGTTCCTGAAAGGACTACACGCTACAGGGTATCGAATTTACGAGCACTTCGTGTATATCATCTTTCTTCAGTTCCCTGGAAAGATAGGCCATTTTTTTAATTTTTTTTTTTTAATTTTCCTCAACATATCTGTTATTTTCGAATGATTTTTTTGTTGGCTCGGTCCCAAATTCTCAAAGTCTAACCTCTTGTGGATGATTTCATGTTCCTGTATTTCATTTCTTTATTGCTCAGATTTTACGTCCTGTCATCTCTTTGCCAGGTTTTGCTGAGTCATGATCTTTAACTGAAAAAAGAAACCTGTTACTTCTCAGAAGTACTTGACGACATCTTCCTTCCTCTGCTCTTCAGGCGGGTGGCATGGAGTTGGGTCAATGGTATTATGCTCAGGTTGATTGGATGGGAAAAAAGTCTCTGCTTATTTTTATTTCGGCCCACTCGAATCACTTTTAGAGGCATTTATTCTTTACTGATTGTGCACGTGGAGAAGAACAGCTGCATTCCTTGATATTCGATCTCTTTGTTAATTTTAACGCAGAGTTTTGTTAAATCACTTGCTCTCCAATTTTTGCTGACTTGCTTAATAATTTTTTTTTAAAATTCCTGCCTAAAAATTACAAAAATTACCCTAATAATCGATGGGGTTGATACTTTTGGGTTAGTGGATGGATCCATATGCCCAGCGCAGGTATTCCACGTAGCTGCTAATCCGTAAAATGTATGTGCGCGCCATTTCTTCGTAGTTGCTTAAGTGGTCGTATTTTAGCATGCATATGCCACTCATCGGCACCAGAACGAGTAGCATCTCCCGTCAATCACATTTTATTTTTTGCATGATCAGAACCTTTGCATATAATTCCTTAATTTTTAAAAAACGTCTGGCTGTAGGCCCTTTTTTACATAAATTTTGGACCTAGGCTTGATGTATTAGTGAGATTCCGATATTTTTCCCGCCTAAAATTGTTCAATTTACAGCAACGTTGCCGAATACATCAAAAAGCAGTTGCAGGCGTACGGCATCTTCACACAGATGTTACACTTTGAAGCGACTCTCCCCGGATTTGTAAGTCTCGTGTGATTATATTTCATATTCTCATAACAGGTGATCTCAGCAATTCCGGGAAAACCGTTCTTCACGTATTTTCATTTTACCTTTACGTTCTTTCCCAATATTTCCAAATTTAGTCCTTACTGAACTTATATTTCAGAACAATTCTGGGACGAACGTTTTGGGCGTTGTTCGTGCTAGCCGGTCATCATCAGTTGAAGCAATTCTTATGGCAGTAAATATGAATGATATGGAGGCATTGGCTGTAGCGATGGCTCTAGCAACTTATTGTCGAGGTATTGCTTCTGCCATACCTAAGCAAATTTTGCAGCTGCAAATTTTCACCCTTAGATGCATATATTCTTCCTCTATTAATTCATAAATAGATCATTTAGTAAGCCAGAAACATTTCGAAGATAAATAAAAAAGGGGATGGAACGAGGCTGAGACCCTGAAGGCAAGGCGTAATTGGAATTTTAAAGCTGAGGTGACCGGAGTTATGGAAGTGGAATGAGCTGGGGTTTCGGAAATCTCCAGCGATTTTCAAATTTTTAAAATTGCATATCTGTTTGTTGTCAAGGGTGGTTTAATAAGAATCTTGCCACTTTTGCAAAAAAATAGTGGTGTGAGGAAAATAGATCCCGTCTTCCCCCGCGTTTCGCCTTTTCACTGCCTTCCTTTCAATAATTAAATTCTCTGGCATAATTGACTCGATAAAATAGAAGTGGGATTTTTCAGAACAGGTGTATTGGGCGCGAGATATTCATTTCGTTTTTGTGGACAAAGGATTAGTCGGGATGACTGCATTTTTGGACGAGTACCACGGGCATCGCCATCCATTTTTGCGTGTGGAAAAGCTGCAGTTCCATAGCGGAGCTGTGGTTGGCGGATTTGCACTCAAAACAACTGGGACAGTGTTTGATACGCTGAATGTTGAGCACAATATGATGAATGGCTTATTGCCAAATTTGGATTTGCTCAATTTGATGATCAAGTTGGCTGACAAATTTGGCCTCGTTCCGGAAGTTTTCGAATCTGCGCATCAAGGATCTTGGTGGGATCTTGCTGAATTGACAAGCAGTGCAGTACTTAGCCAGGTATCTCATTTGTACAGTGATATTTTTTGACCAGTAATAAGAATTCGACTTAAAAAATTTTTCGCTCTCTTAGTAGCACTCCCGTTTTTACGTATGCAACAGCTTCATGAATAAGGAAGCCCGCTACTAAAGATGGGTTTTTGTAAGACAGTTTCCACTCACATGAGCTCATTTTTCAGTTGCTTTTGCTTTTATTTGTGGATTCCTATTCTTTGATTTCGCTTTTTTTTTCATTTTTTCCATAACTTCAGGTTTGCTTTAATTTTCCTTTTAGTGCTGTGTTGCCTCTTCCTCTTTACTACGGTCTCCAGCTCTCGCTTCGAACTCCTTACTGGCGCCTTTTCTCCCCTTCTCTATCCTCTGCCCAGTTCCTGTCTTCAGAATTGCATCTAGGCATCCACCAGTCACCTTCCCCCACCAGTCCGGTTACTCATCATCCCCGATCCACTGGGCACTGGATAGCGCTATTGTTGGCAAACACCAGGCAATGCTGGCAACCAACGCCGCTAAATAGCATTATTGGAGAAGGTAAAACGTCTTTCAGCGACGGCCGAGCTGAGTTTTAGTAATTGTCCATTTATACTTTAGCACCGTTGGCTTCTTTACTTGTATCAGCTTCGAAAATCTGTGTGCTTTCGCAAAAGGCTGTATTTGTGTGTCTTTTAGGCATTTAACGAAAAAGAAGGATTACATAGCGTTTTCGGATCCTATGGTATACAAGCGGTCACAATACATGCGCAGAACGTTTTTGAAGGCTATGTGACGTTAACAGATCTAGCACGAATTTGCGAAGGCGCCTTAAGGTTTTTTTTTTAATTTGACTTCCAAAGAAGTGACATGCATCGAACAGACGAT